CATAGGTTCGTTTCTTCACATTACCTATAAATGGGTAATTCGGCGCATTTAGCACCCCAGGTTTTTTGTTTCTGGACGTCTGACAAATCGATGTACTATTTCGTTTCATTTATAGATTTTTTACAATAATGGTTTAATTTATAGATTTATTGTTTTTGAATTTTTCCTTAGGCAAGACTTCATCCTCCATAACAACATCACTGACACCAATCCCATTGCAAATGAAATATGAATCTATTTTATTTATTTCTTCTTTCTTTCATTTTCTCTCAATTCGATGAAGGATTTATTGAAATAAATAGGAGAAGATAAAACAATGCAACGTTTTAAATCAATTAAAACATAAATTATATTCCATTCATATGTATTTGCAGGATTGACTTGATTGTGGATTTTCCGAAGATTGCCATCGAGACAGCAACATGGGACTGCATCCCCAGTGTCAATCCAAGCCAACCAACCAGTCAGCTAGCCAGCCAACCATCGAGCCAGCCAACCATCGAGCCAGCCGGCAAGCCATCGATGACAATCGAACAACAGTTGTTGATCTCTCAGTCGAAATGGACAAGAATTATGATTTCTGGTGTTATTTATTATTGCAATGCAATTATGTGAATGTACACACACACATTCACATGTGTTTATTTTTATATGTATATGTATGTTCTTACGTGTGGATATTGTGTAGTGGTCGTGTGTGTGTGTTCATTGGATATTGAGATAAATTTATGTTGTCCTCCCGCAACAATGTATGATGAGAACAGTAATCTAATTAAAAACAATGCAAATTGACATCACGTTCACAACTCAATCTCGATTGGATATCGCTGTCGTTTAATTATAAGAAATGAAATGGTGACAAAATTGCAATACACAATTTAAATAATAATAATTCTTAATTTTATTTTGCAATCAAAAGGAGACGGGTGAATTTAAATGAAATTGAAAGTAAATAGAAGGAAGGGAGATATTTACAGGCACATACAGGATGGAGCCATACCATACCCACAGCTAAACTCTCCAACCTTTCGATTTCCACTAAATTTGACGGAAGTAGTTCTTTCTGCGGTATAAGACTACTCGTAACTAGAGTTGTGCCATTCTAGTTCAATGGAAGGAACTAGTTCCTTATCTAGTTCCAGGGATTCCGGTCGTTTGTATGAAGACTGCGCGTATGAGTGATATGGAATACATGACACTTATGAAATCATTCATACTTTTAGGAACTGGTGTACTAAACTATAAACGAGATTGGCACATGTTATCACCTTGAAAATGTCTTAATAAAAAATTGGCAATATTATCAAATATTTATACCCTCCAGTTATTAGATACAGCCAAAATAACTCTTTTTTAATTTTATTGAAGGAAAGCAAAAATGTCGGAAATAGCATCATATTTTAGAATAAGTTTAGATTTGTTCGAATCGGTCACTTTTGGCACGAATTATGGCCTTCAAACCGCAAATGAAACCGTCAAACGCTGCCCGAATGTTGCTCTGAGGTATTTTGGCCTATTCCCGGCGAAGCGCTTGCTTGAGCTGACCGATACATTGGTATTTTTAGTGCCAACCTTGATTTCCAAAATACTCCAGACACAATAGTTCACCGGATTGGTATTCGGAGATTTTGTGCGCTGGAAATGAAGCGAGGAACCTCATTTGTAACCATTGTTGGGTGGCGCATGCTGAGTGCGATGGTGCCGAGTACTTTTGGAATGTCCAAGGTCTGCGGTGAAAATCTTTGCTTGCCCAAGGCTTTAATACACCCTCCAGAATTTTTTCGCGATAATATTCGGCATTTATTCTGTTGCCACGGTCGTTTAATAAGAAATATGAAGGTGCACATTTTCAGCTGACCTCTTTGGCAAGTAAACACGATCATTTTGTTTGTAATTTCAACAGCTGTCGGACGAGTGGCTTAGAAATGACCACGATATCATATAACGGTACCCCCCGATATTCGGTATTTGATGATTTTGGCCACATTTCGAATGGAATGGTATGAAAATCCACACAAGGAGTTCGTTGTCAGTACTTTATCTCTTGGAAGAGAATTATCTATATAGGTCCACGATATCGTATATCCCCATATAACGGTACCACCCCTAGATTCGGTATTTTGATAATTTTAACCACATTTTTAATGAAACTGTCTGAAATTCCATACAAGGAGTTCCTTGTGGCACTTTACCCCCCTGAAAGACAATTATCTATATAGGTCCACGATATCGTATAGCCCCCACATAACGGTGCTTTGATGATTTTAGCCATATATTTCAATGGCATTGTCTGAAATACTACACAAGGAGTACTCTGTGAGTACTTTACCCCCTGAAAGAGAATTTTGTATATAAGTCAACGATATCTCATAGCCCCCATATTACGGTACGGCCCGATATTTGGTATTTTGATGATTTAAGCCACATTTGTCAACGGAATTGTCTGAAATTCTAACCAAGAAGTTCTTTGTGAGTACTTTACCTCCTGACTTAGATTTGTCTACATAGGTCCACAATATCGTATATCCCCCCCTATATCGACACTTTCCGATATCGGTATTTTTGAGATTTTAACAGAATTTTTTAATGGATATTATTTTTTTGAAAATTTCCTAATTCGTTCCAAATGGTGGAGGGTATTAAAAGTTCGGCCCGGCAGAACTTCGTGTTTTTATACCCTACACCACAAGGAGGTCAGGGTATTATGTCTTTGTGTATTTGTTTGTAACAGGCAAAAGGAAACGATATAGACCCATAGTTCCTTTTGATGATCTGCATAGAATCACATTCTGAGTCGATTTATGCATGTCCATCCGTCCGTTTGTCCGTCCGTCTGTCCATGTATTTTTGTAAACAAAGTACAGTCCGAAATTATTACCTGATCCAGATGAAATTTTGCACAAATCATTTTTTTGGCCCAAGGACGAACCCTATTGAAATTAGAGATAATCGGTCAAAATTTAGATATAGCTCCCAGATATATCTTCGTTCGATTTGCCTTTTATTGTCCACCAAACGTGTAATATCAGACAGAATTGTATGGACATACAACCAAATTAAGCCTAAAAAATAAGTATGCCAAATTTGATCGAAATCGGTTCAGATATAGCTATAGCTCCCATATATCTTGTTCATCCGATTTGTTATTTAGTCCTCCGCAGCCGTAATATGCACTCTGTAACAACAATATTTGGGGAAATATATGAAATACAGCTCAGAAATACATTTGCTAAATTTTATCGAGATCGGTTCAGATTTGGATATAGCTCCCACATATAACTTCGTCCGATTTACTTTTTACTGTGCACCAAACGTCTAATATTTGTCCAAATGGGATGGAATCTGGCACTTGCGACCGAATTGAGTCTAGAAGCTATCTTATATCTTTGCCAAATTTTATCGAGATCGGTTCAGATTTGGAATTAGCTCCCATATATATCTTTATCCGATTTCAAATTATTGTGCACCAAATGGGCAATACAATTCCGAATTTAAAAGATACAAAGCTTCGGCATATTAGTCCCTTGAACTTTAAATTATAATTATAATCATAGCGTGTGTGATTGAATCTCCCATAAAAGCTTTTAATGTGGAACCTACTAAACAGCAAAGTGGTGGTGGGATTCATAAAGTGGGCCTGCCCGACTTTAAGACTTTTACTCTTTTTTCGGTATTTTGGTGGTTTAAGCGACATTATTCACCGGAAATGTTTTAAATTGGGTATTTGAAGTTCGAAATTCCATGAAATTAATCGGACCACTCCTTCTCGTACCTCCCACACAAAAAGTTAAAATTATAATTAATTATATAATTAAAAGTAAAATTATTCCTAAAAAATTAGGTATCATAGTCCAATTTTCTTAAAATTTTACACACCTACATAATTTGATCTGTATTAGGTGATGCAATGCTTATTTCGCCATTTTCCAAAATTATCACGTCTCAGAGACTTAGTACGAATTGCAAAAAAGAACACCCTGTCTAATGTGCCTCATCAATAGTGAGCTAAATGCGAAATTTGAAATGTCAAGCTATGAAATTGTTGAATTTTAGGACAAAACACAGTTCTTGTACCCTTCTATTGCAAATGTCCAAAAAACATCTCCTACTTTTAGTAAAATTTTGTGCAGCTACTATAATTCAAGATTCTAGTCCTAATCATTAAAAAATTAATATTTTATTATTTAAAGTTTCTCATCTAATCTGTGCATATTCCGCCACATTAGTTTTTATATTTTTTTATTTTAGCAAATTGAAGTCATTTTTGTATCCCTTGTCTTTAATTTGACAAATTAAGAAATGAATAAAACAAAATAAATCTTAATTGTTCTCTAGACTGTTAGCTCGTTCTCACCCACAAAATATGTACACATATACTTTTATCTGTGTAGGTGTGTGTGTGTGCACATCCACCATCCCATACTATGATGCACACTCTTTGTGTTACAATGTAATACCATTAGAGAAGAGAGAGAGAGAGGAGAGAGAGAGAGAGAGAGAGAAGCTGGAAAAGAACATAGAAGCATTGCGACTTGCAACACAACAACAATTTAAAAGTTTTAACTCAAGTTTTTGGCGTGAAATCCATAACAGTTGTATAATTATCATTTGCGAACCCATTGTAGCAATTGACAGAGGAGATGCTGTCGAGTGTTGGCCAAAAACCAACAACGACAAGAACAACAATTAAATCCCCCAAAAAGCAAAAGAGTTAAAAGTTGCCTTGTCTGCTATGGGCGGGCCAAGTGGACCATAGAGATGTGCATCCATTCTACATCTCCATCCCGCCCCGCCCTCACGTCACCACACCCTGGCTCACCCAACAATTATTGTGGTAGTCCTCAGCATCACGTTCTGTTCTGTTTGGTTCTGTTCTGAAAACATTTGCAAAACTATTCAAAAGAACAATAAAGCCAAGCAGACATTACAAAGCTTCCGACATGATTTGGAGACTGAATGGCAAAAGAATTGTGTAACAACACAAACACAAGCACAACTTACGTATATTTTTCCTTTTTCTTCTTTGTCGCATCCTATCCTCCCTCCAGATAGTGTCCTTACACTGAGAAACGAACCGAAATGTCTGAAATAAATGGGAATAAAGGTAGATATGAATAGATGGCTGAATAGATGTAGCTGGAGTTTAGGAGGGGAAGAAGCCTACCAATTTGGGTGGTCATCGGATAATATTGGCGGGTAAAAAGACCATATCTTTTGTGTTGAAAAAATTAAAAATTTTTCATTAAACCGTGAATATTTTAAATCCCGGCGAAATCATAAAGTGATGACAAGGTTACTTCTGATCTTTACATTGATGATAACAACCAACAATCGGATATATAGCAAATATGTGCGATATATATGTCTATCAAAGAAGATATGCTTGAAAGATCTCTTATATGTCGAGAACGGGCTGAAGTGATTTCGACAGTTCTCATTAATTCAGAATGGCCTCTTGGCAGGAAAGAAAAAACGTCTAAAAAAATCGCATAAAAACATCTCTCTAAAGATGAAAATATTGATTTTGTAAAATTTTCTCATATTTTTTCAATTTTGTCATATTTTGGCATATTTTCATTTTGAATTAAACATTTGGTAATATTTTTACAGCTAACAAAACTAATTAGTTGGGATATCAGATATCATATACAGATCGCATTTATGGCCCGATCCTTACAAAATTTTGCATGGGGATAAGATGAGGGTCAGAATAGAAGCCTACTCTTTTTGGAGATGATCGCCATATATTTAGGGGTTGAAATGGACCAAAAAACTGCAAAATTGTCGGCAGGTCGTAATTATCGCCCGATCCTCATGCACATTTGAATGGGGGATACCGGAAATTGCAAAAGCCAAGCAGTTTTGGATGGCCATCCAAAAATATTCAATGTGTGAAATAATTTGCCAACTTTTGTAGACAAAATACGAAAATGTCCATTCCAGTGACTTTTTGGAGAATACACAAATACAGGAAAGACGCACTTCTGACTATTTCGTTAACGTTGATTTCATTGAAGAATATAGTCAAATGTCTGTATCTCATATAGATGCGTTTCAGTCAAAAACCAATAATAAATGTTAATCTTTTGCCACTTCTGAGAGATTATAGGTCTTTGGGAAATATTGATTCCAGATCTAGTCCATTTAAGTGCAACATCTACCAATAAATTGGATATGAGCAAATTAGTTTAAGTAGTTATTTTTCGAAAGTTAGAGAACGAAACCTGATGTTTTTCTTTAATTATTTGTCACAATATCTTGTGGAATTCTTTCGAGTTTCTCGCCTATATAAACTGTATGATTTATTATACTGTTGTAGGGTATTCAACGGTCGGCCCAGCTCGACTGTAGCCTTTGCTTACTTGTTATCCTGTATCTTAAGATGAAAATCGAATAAGCCAACAAAACAATATCCAAGTTTTCATATCTCTTCCATATAGCATCACCTCCTCCATTTATATTCAGCTATATGGCAAAACCAGTAAAGAAAGTCTTAAAGTCGGGCGGGGCCGACTTTAACAACTAAAAGTTTTTCTGGGAGAATTCCATCGTACACGCTATGATTATAATTATAATTTAAAGTTCAAAGGACTAAATATGCCGAAGCATTTGCATTTTTTAAATTCGGACTTGTATTGCCCATTTGGTGCACAATTAATTTGAAATCGGATAAAGATATATATGGGAGCTATATCCAAATCGAAACCGATCTTGATAAAATTTGGCAAAGGTATTTCTGAGCTGTATTTGATATAATTCCCTGAATAACGTTGTTATTGAATAATATATTACGGCTGTGGTTAACAAATACAACAAATCGGATGAACAGTATATATGGGAGCCATATCCGAACCGATCTTCACCAAATTTGACATACTAGCTTCTAGAATTAGTTCGGTCGTATGTGCCAAATTCCCTCCCATTTGGACAAATATTAGACGTTTGGTGCACAATAAAAGGTAAATCGGACGAAATTATATATAGGAGCTATATCCAAATCTTAACCGATCTCGATAAAATTAAGCAAAGGTATTTCTTAGCTGTATTTGATATATTACCCAAATATTGTTGTAACAGAGTGTATGAACTCTGTTACGGCTGCGGAGGATAAAATAACAAATCGGATGAACAAAATATATGGGAGCTATAGCTATATCTGAACCAATTTTCACCAAATTTAAAGTACTTATTTCTAGGATGAATTCAGTCGGATTTGCCAAAATTCAGGTCATTTGGACTGATATTTGCCATTTTGTGCACAATTAACCCGAAATCGGTTGAAGATATATATGGAGCAATATCTAAATTTAAATAGATTTTCACCAATTTCAGTAGTTTTGGTCCTTTGGCCACACAAATATTGTTTGGAAAATTTAATTTCAATTGGATAATAAATGCGACCTGCATTTTGTTCACAAATGGACGGACTGACTGACTGCATAAATCGACGCACAAAGTCATTCTGTGAAGATCATAAAAAGTAATGTTACAAACAAATGCACAAAGGCATATTACCCTTAGCACAATGTGGTGTAGGATACAAGAATGTGTAAAGGGTGTGTAAAAATGTATTTTAAAGGAGGTAAAGCGAGTATCTGATGATAATTACAGTTTCGAAAGTGGACAATATCGGGATAGTATTTCCCGTTACTCTCCAAAAAAAAAGTAATAACTTTGGGAAATAGTTTCTATAAAATGTTAAATTTTTCCAGTAAAATAGGTTTTTTTAAAACTTCGCTCATATAATATATTGAGGTGTGGATAGATACACTCCTTCTGCCACCTTACCGATAAACGGTTATATTTTTGAAAAAAAAGTTAATATATCTGGGGTATGAGAGGCGCATAAAAAATCGATTATTCTTTTTAAAGCATTTTTCCAGAAATGACCATATAATTCGGATTTTTTTCCCATTTTCCTCTACTCGACATTACTGGGCCAGTATAATTGCCCTGCAAGGGTAAAGGGTTATAGGAATGACTAGATAACGTGTTTTATTATTATTTTATAGCAAAAAATAATTGAAGAACTTTCGGTTGAGCTGAGGCGATTTTTTAATTTTAATACGGGTTGCCCTTTAAATTTCATTTGCCAGTGAAATCGGTTGGAGAATGCAGTTAGAGACTTTGAAATCGGCGCTCCAGTTAAATGGGCGCTATACTAGTACATGAACGTACGTAGACACTTTTCAACTTTAAGGTCTGTTATCTGTTGTGAGTTTGAAATACCATTATATATACTTAATGGGGCATACGACGAAAATTTTGAGACGTTTCAAACGGAATGACATGTTGTAGGATATAACCAGTAAGGAAAGCTCAAAAGCAGGGCGGGGCCGACTATATGATACCCCACACCACTATGCATATTTAGTAGAGCTCTCGTAAAAAGGTTTATACAGGGCATTTCAGAGCTCTATGAGATATTTGGTACAAAATCAAAATCTATCTAATTCTATCGTGCATTTTACGAACTATAGCTATCTCTGAACCGGGTTTCTCCAAATTTGACGTATTAGCTTCTAGACTAAAATCGGTCCGATGTACTAAAATTCAGTCCATTTGGACTTATATCGGCCATTTGGTGCACAATTACCCGAAATCGGATGAAGATATATATGGGAGCTATATCCAAATCTGAACCGGTTTCGATAAAATTACAAACAGCTATTTCTGGGCTGTATCTTATATCTGGTACCAAATATCATTCTTGTGGAGTGCATATTACGAATTTGAGAGGCTTAAACACCAAATCGGATAAAACATATAAATGGGAGCTATAGCTGTTTCTGAACCGATTTTCTCCAAATTTGTTGTATTTGCTTTAAGGCTAATCTCGGTCACATGTGCCAAAATTCGGGCCATTTGGGCTGATATTGGCCATTTGGTGGCCAATTAACCCGAAATCGGATGAAGATATATATGGGAGCTATATCCAAATCTAACCCGATTTCGATAAAATTTAAAACAGCTATTTCTGTGCTCCATCTAATACCTGGTACCAAATATCACGGTTGTGGAGTACATAGTAGGAATGTGAGGGACTTGAAGATCAAATCGGATGAAAGATATATATGGGAGCTATAGCTATATCTGAACCGATTTTCTCCAAATTTGATATACTGGCTTCTAGGCCGAACTCGGTTGGGTGTGCCAAAATTCAGGTAATTTGGACTGATAGTGGACATTTGGTGGACATTTAACCCGAAATCGGATGAAGATATATATGGGAGCTATATCTAAATTTGATCCGATTCTCACCAATTTCAATAGGGTTCGTCCTTCGGCCAAAAAAATATTGTTTGGAAAATTTCATCTCAATCGGATAATAAATGCGACCTGCATTTTGTTCACAAGAATACATGGACAGACGGACGGACGGACGGACGGACAGACAGACTGACATGCATAAATCGACTCAGAAAGTGATTCTATGAAGGTTCTCAAAAGTAACTATTGGTATATCTCGTTTCCTTCTCCATGTTACAAACAAATGCCCAAAGACATAATACCTTTACCACTATGTGGTGTAGGGTATAAAAAGGAACCAGTAAAAAAGCATTTAAGATCGGACGGTCAAAAAAAAATATCCGTCGAGAAATACCTTTTAAATGAAACCGTTATATATCAAATCATCAAAATACCGAATAAGGGGAGGTACCGTTATATGTAGGCTATTCGAAGACGTGGTATTGTCATAGACTGTGGTACCCATTAGGGCCTTCGAGTAAAAAACGCCGAATATCAGGAGGTACCATTATACGGAGGCTATTCGAAAACGTGGACCGACATGGTCCATTTAACATGAGTATTTTGAGGTATTACAAATGGAATGACGGAATATACCCTCCAGAGCATGGTGGAGAGTATAATAATTGTTAAAGGAAAACCAATTTTCGTTTAGCTCTGTTTACGTTAACAGAGCTCTGTTATCGGCTATGTAATATATTTGTTCATTGCAGCGTACCTAAAAAATCGGTTCAGTACGGTATGACACTTTTTATGAACTTCAACATTAGATGGGGTATATTATTCAAAAATCATTCTGAACATCCACATAGTATATGTTCTTGATCAGCATAA